CCCCCGTATCGCCGCTGGCCGTGCACCCCTGCAGGGCCCCCTCCCGGGGCACCCCCGCCCTGCTTCTTTTTCCCTGTCCCGGAGCGGGATGGGGCAGTGGGGCCCGGTGGGAGCCGGGATGCTCCGCAGGGGCCCTGGGTGCGGGTGTCGCGGTGGCGGCTCGGAGAGTTGGAGACTGAACCGGTCTGTCCCAGCCGTCACGCTTCAGGGCTTCAGCCTCGCCCCTGCCCAGTTAAAATGCAACCCTGGTGCGGAGTAAACCACTCCAGGGGGTGGGGGTGGCTGCCAGCATCCTCCCTCGAGTTCTTTTTGAAAAAAGACGGTAGGCTAAGACAGAGGAATGTGAAAAGTGAGGTGTTGGGTATCCCTGGAAACTGAACAAGATTTAACCTGGAGAATTAATCTTATAAAAATTTAGTAACAATAATGACCGTGTGCCGTATTTGTATGATATTGGAGAAAAATGCAGAAATACTTATCTTAGTGAAATCAGAATTTTAATTCTAATCGATGAAAGTCCATTTTCGCTTGAAAAGGTCGTTTGTTATTGCACTACGTGTGTGTGTTTACACATACAGCTGTTGAGACACAGTTCAGTGTAATTCTGAAAGTTATCGGGTTGTTCAAGGGAAAAAGTTTCTGTATTGGCTACAGCTTGACTCCGCAAGGTTTTATGCATTTCAGCTCATTAAAGAGTTGTTACAAAATGTTTAGAGAATGCCTGTGGGGAGAAATAACTTGAAAGCAGTGAATGGTTTTGAGTATTACCCACATCGTGCGACTGTGCCAGGCTGGTCAATGCGTTTCTTAAAGGTAAAAAAAGAAAAAAATTTTTGCTGTTTGAATTTTTATTCAGACTGCGGAATTTCACTTCACGTTGGGCCACAGGTCTGTTACATAGCTATACAGTTAGTTAATGTGATCTGCATAATAATGGCCTATAATAAAACCTGTTGTGCTCTGTTCCCTTCTCACTGTTTGCTTCATGTGTAAGTTCACTTACTGCTTTAACTCAGAGTGTGTTATTCACAAGTACTTATTTACGAATAAATTTGATTTGCGTGCCACCGTAAGTTTTCTTCTTCTGGGGAAGTGACAGCAGAACTGGCATTAGAACCATCTGTCGGGGGGCTTAGAAGGGTAATATTGCATTACATTTTACTTTGAAAATTTACAGTTAAAAGGGACTCTGATAATACTGAGTTATTCTGCTTTGTCCAGGAGAGACTTCATACTTACCTGAGGTAGACAGACTCCAGTAGCACATATGTATGTGATTTATTTCTTGGGGAAGTGAGGGAGACATCTGAAATGGCCTACTGTCAATTTTGTGTTCCTCTAAGGAGGAGTATTTTGTCACTTTTCAATAACAGTATTGAGTCTGATAGAGCACTGGCAGGCACTCTTACTAAAATGTATGTTGAATAGAAATATAATGGTGGTGTGAGTATACACATACATATGACCTGCTGTTTGGCACGTTGCTGTAAGGGTCCTCACCTAACCTTGCTTTCTGAGGTGAGCTGATTATTTACATGACTGAAGAAGCTGAGTAGGGCATTCCTAATACTACCTATTTGCAGCATAATTATTTGGCCTTGCAAGGCCAAACTCAAGCATTTATAAAATAATTAAATTGCCAAGCAACTTCATTATACACTGAGCACTGTTCACCTTTGTGGAGAATTATGCCTTGGGGCCAAAATTTGAAAAGATAATCTCTGACTTGAGAAAATATTTCTTCCATTTGCATGATTGTCTTAGAGTAAGTTGGCATACGACATATCAGTAACAGGTCTAAAATTTAAGTGTCAGGTTACTTGACAAACTTTGACTTATTTAGTCCCATTTTGATGGTGTGGTTTTTTTTGTTACTTGATCCTGAATAGTTTAATTATTTTTTCACTTTAATGTATTTATAGTAGGATGATACCTAAAGTGCTTGTCAGATTAAGACTCTGCTCTGTTGCATTTTATGTGGACATGTACTTTGGCAGTTCCTTTCAGATTATTCAGTGCTTTTCAACGACTTTCTTTTAAATATTTTTGAGATGCATTAAATTATATTTTTTTTGTTTGCAGGAGGTACGTAAAAAGGCATCCTTTAAAGGCTGAATTAGGAAAAAAAGTCCACCAAATATTTCTCTCATGGTTCTCTTTTTTTTTTTAAAGATATTTTGCCAGCCTTTTTTTTCTTTCTTTAAAAGCTCAAAAACTTTCTTTGAGCTTCCCAATTAAAGACAGAAATGAATCTCATAAACTATGAAGGTCAGCCATTTTTATTACAGTTTCTTAAATTTCTTTTATGTATAGTAAATAAAGTTGTTCGTGTAGTGTGTAGGTTTGTTCAGTTTGATATCTTTTTGCTTTAGTAAATAAAGAAGCTGATATTTATACAGTGTTAAAAATCTGCATTCCAGAAAAATGATCCCCCGTTTCAACTCAAACTTCCTCCAAAGGCAGCTAGACCTGAAAAAGAAGTTGACCCGGAATATGAAGAGAAGATGGTAAGTGCAGCTTTTTATGACGTTGTTTTGTTTGCTTGAACTGGATCAACACAGTTACAGCGAGTTGTTGCAGACTGGATGTGTCGGAAAAGAAACAAATCGAGGTTCATTTAAATGTCTAGTCCAATGTGGTGTTTCTCACATGATAGTGAAGGATATGAAAACAGAGGAAGCAGTTAGTGATAGTTCTGTTAAATACTGCCCCACACCTCCAAGTATTTTAATCTACATGATTTCTGGAGTTGGAGGCTCTGGTTTTTATGCTCAGTAGTTGTCAATGGATTTTTTTTTTTGTCTACTTGCTTTTTTACCCCTCATGTTGGTTTAGTTATCCACACATTCCTGTGGTAATGAGTTTCTATTCAGTTGATTTTATGTTGAGAACTCTCCCCTTTTGATTTTGAATCTGTCACCCCGTGAGTCCTGTCAGAAGCATCCTTAATCTACTTCTTAAATGAGAGAAATACTGAAGCTGCCAGTTTCTCATCATATAATACCATAAAGATTTTAAATGTTGATATACCCCATAATACACATGCCGTAACAATGCAAAGGAGGATCTGTCCGTGACCCAAATGAAGGGAGCTTGTAGTGCTGGAGAGAGGTAGGAGGGTAATTTCTGTATTGCAAAGAGACAGAAACCAGGAGGATGTTACTTCTTCCTCGACAACACATGTAGTAAGTTCTTGGTTGAAGTCAGTATCTGTATCTTGCTGCACTTTTTTTAAAAGCTTTAACATTGAGTGGATGCTTAATAATTACAGTAGTCTGAAAGGATTGGGCACCACAGAAGCCAGGGAAGAGCATCACTGTTACACAGAAAAATTGATACCTGTTTGTATGAATACTTAATTTTTTAGCCAAAGAGAAGAAACACAAGTAAACCTGTTCATTAAGAATGGGTTGAGTAAATAAGTAAACTTGGTTTCACAGGAATACGTGGTGAATTTACATCTTTCCTAAACTAGAATGTTAGTTCAGTTGTTCCAAGATGCAAAGGGAATCTTCGTTTCATCAGTTCTGCAGTCCTGAGCTAGACCTTTACTGTTTATCGAGGCATGCTGCTTACACCCAGCCAATAATTTTGCAGGCAAAAATGTAGAACCTTACCAGTTGTGGTTTAGCTTGCCAAAACTGTCATGTATTACTAGTTTAATATAAATCCTCAGAGTGGATTTGCTCTTATCCTGTATGAGTATGAAGATCCACACCTTTACTCTCCTGGTTTAGATTTTTTTTTCTTAAAAGTTTTACTTTATATTTACAGTTTATTTGGTTTTTTTAAGTTATTTACACAAATGATCCAATAGTGAATGCAAGGGGAAAAATAACAGTCACGTTTTTGCAGGAGTGTTTTGTAAAGATGTTTATTTGCTGGTGCACTGTTAGTAGAGATGCGTTGCCCTCATGTGGCAAGATCCTGCATTGCATGTCAGGTTCATTTTATTGCCCTTTTCTTTGGTTTGTGTTGTTGCTGTTCCTAAGTTACCTGCAGAAAAGCTTTCTGTTGTTTGTATGTTTCTTAGAAAGGTTATGGTACAGAACTGCTATTTCACTTTTGTAGTTGATACCAAGATATATAAATGAGATCACATGAAAATTGCTCTAAGCAGCAGTTACTTGATGCTTAGAAATGACAGAGAAATTGATAAAAATTATCTGACATAGCATTTGCATTTTATCGTATTTTTATTATAAATATGTAACATGCATTTTAAATATAGAGAAGGACATATGTTTTGCTGTTTATATAGCAAAGTGCATATGCCTCATTGATATGGTAAAACAGAAATGATTGAAATTTGAAATCTGACAGCAAAATGCACAAACCTCAGTGAAAGCAGTATTGAACTGCTGCATCCATTACTTTAGTCATGCTTCTAATAGCAGAGCTACCACATTGTTGTCTGGGATCAAATCCTCATGGCTCTGAGTCTGATGGAAGTTTTGCCACTGACTGGATCAAGGTTAGGATTTTATTCTTTACTTAGAATCACAACCTTAGGTTTTTTATTTATCTTTTGTAGACAGTCCTCTAAAGCATCCCTTCACAGTTGCTGGTGTGCCATGTAGACTTAAGCAATCTATATAAGTAAATGTTTTTGGGTTGTTTTACTAATCTTTGAGTTTTGAGTGGGGCTGAGTTGCTGGGATGAGGTTATCAAGTCCTGCCATGCCTTCCAGATTGCTGTGGTATTCATGAAATACCATTTGAGCTACTACATATTACACTTAGGTGCTTTAAAGGAATTCGTGCTCAGCTGTAAGCTGGAGCAGCTCGAGCTAATTCGTGATGCAGCCCTCTGAGTTAGCTCTCATTAGGCAGATGGTCTTGTCAGTCTTTGCTCATATGAGTTGGTCTCATGAGTATCTGAATTCTTTTTCTTAATAAAAATACTTTTTTTTAAATGAAGAAGGTTACTGATTTTTCTTTTTTTAATTCTCACCATGTTTTGGAAATCAGAAAGCAGATCGAGCAAAAAGGTTCGAATTCCTCCTGAAGCAGACAGAACTTTTTGCACATTTTATTCAGCCTGCAGCACAAAAATCACCAACATCTCCATTGAAAGTCAAGCTGGGACGGCCACGGGTGAAGAAGGATGAAAAACAGAGTTTGATTTCAGCTGGGGAGTATGTGTTTGGGTTTTTTTTTAATTATTTCTGACTTTGTACACTTTCAAATAAATTACGGATTTTAACATGCATATTTAGCTTGTAGCACAGTCACTGTGCTTTAAGTCCAGAATGTCTCCTGTTAATTGTGTATAGTAATTTCTATAAAAGCTGGTTGGTGTATTCATGCTGACCTGTGAGCGTTAGTGTTACCTTGGATCAGGAATGTACTTTTAAAGTAGATTATTGCCACTTACTGTGCTTTGGTCCATATTACAGAGTGATTTTGAGTTAAATTTCTTTTACATAACACTGAATTAGAAGACACACACCAGAAATGTACCTGATGTGCTCCAGCTGCCAGTGGATATGTCAGTGGGTCTAGCATGGACCTAGTCCAAGTTAAAAACGAGACAACAGGCATGTCGTGCGGATGGTGGATCCGATCCTCAGCACCAATTCTCGCTCCACCAGTCTGTGTGTATCAATAATACAGGCACAGCCTGCATGTAGTCTTTCTGAGGCGTTGTGTAATAGCAAACAACCACTTTTTGGAACGTTTACTAAATGGCATTTTCTATTTTATAAATTTTAAACAATTAGCTATCAAGTAATTGATTATAAGGCCACTGCTGATGTGTCTTGTATTTCTGTGTTGCTCACTAAAAAGTACCTTAAAGAACTCATGATACTTGTTGTCAGAGTATAGTTATAGCTCTGGAGGAGGGAGTTTCTTATCAACCTTTCTAAGTAAAGCTGGAGTGAATCATAAGGAATAACTTATTAACAGGATGTGATTTTGGTCAGGGTACTAAAACACACATTGTAGTTAAATAATTGTTTCTGTTATAATTTGTCTCTTGATTTTATAGTCAGTGTTTTGAAATTATTTCATATAAACATGGATCTTGGCTTGTTTCTTTAGTTACCGTCACAGGCGCACAGAACAAGAAGAAGACGAAGAGCTGTTGTCAGAGAGTCGAAAAACATCTAATGTGTGTATTCGATTTGAGGAGTCTCCTTCATGTAAGTATTGTATTGACAGTTTTCTAATTGCTTTGATTTAATTAAGATATGAGCAGATTGTGATTAAAATTTTCTACTTAGAATTAGTATTTTTCTACTTAGAGGAATCTTACATTTGCAGATGTGAAAGGAGGAACACTAAGAGATTATCAGGTTAGAGGTTTGAACTGGATGATCTCATTGTATGAAAATGGTGTTAATGGCATTCTGGCAGATGAAATGGTAAGCAGTAATCTTTTTGATTTTTTTGTGGTAATTAATGAGCAAAATTCAACATTAAAGTGCCTGTAGTACGTAATGCATACACAGTAGTATGCATCATTCTACAACAGTTAGATTTTTCACAACTGGAATTTCAATGCAATGAAAGATTCTGTTGCAAACATTTGCTGTGTAGTTGGCTTTAAACAACTTGTGGCAGAATTATATAATAGGAAAATTGTTTGAAACTACTTCTGTATGGTATTTCATTTCAGCAAGTTTCTTTCCCCCTTATCTTTGTCAATACAGGGTCTTGGTAAGACTCTCCAGACGATAGCATTATTAGGCTATCTGAAGCATTACCGAAACATTCCTGGGCCACACATGGTCCTGGTTCCAAAATCAACTTTGCACAATTGGATGAATGAATTCAAGCGCTGGGTTCCATCACTGCGTGCTGTTTGCCTTATTGGAGATAAAGATGCCAGAGTAAGTGCTCCACGTTTCAAAAGTGTATGCATTATTTGTCAAAAACTAGCATTTGGGTGTGTGGAATTGGTCCTAAGCTACTTCCTTAATCACAGTATTTATTAGTAATTTTAACTAAAATGGTGTTGAACATGCAAAGTGTCATGCTTGCAACTATGAGGAAAAAAATGCAAATTAATAGGTGAAATAATAGACTGGGATCAAAGTACAGCTGTCTGACTTTCTGTTGTCTTCCACTTTGATTTTTGCCCCTTTGCAGATTGTTTTAATTTGATGTCTGATGATATCTGTGGCACAGTGTGTTTATTGCTAGTTCCATGGAATGAAACTAAAATTGTGTGGAAGTGTACACCTTCACTTTGTACTTTGTTGTCTTTCAGGGTCTTATGTTTGTATTGTCATAACTTTTCTGCATTTTCTACTTAATCTTTCTGGTTTGTGGTGGCCAAAGCACCTCTGAGCTTACGTTTGCATTTGTAAATCAGTGCATGATATTGTACAGAACACTCCTCTATTAGGTAGCTCTTCGAGGCCGTGGACGTGAACAGTTCTGTCAGCCCTACTAGCTGGGGTGATGTGTGTACCCTACTAAGTAAGTTCTTGGAGACCTGCATGTGTGGCTTTTCCATGGGGCGATACTCTTTCATGTGAAAGGATTTATATGTATCCCTTACAAAATAGAGATGGGACAGAGGATGGAGATCTTTGGAAAAGAGAGAAGATGGGAGTGGGCTACCTGAGTTGTTTTGAAACGCTTTTTGTGGATTGTGTCTTTGGACTAGTAAGTTTAGAGGGTTTTTTTCTTACTTAGTAGCATGTACTCTATCTAAATTGCATAAAAATTATGCTACAGAGCAAATACTTGATTTTGAATAGGAGAAAAATTGTGTTTTGCTTAACCCCAGCTGATGATCTGTCTATGCCTCAAGTACAAAGGATTGAAAGCTTTTGTTACAGTAACTTTCAGTTACTTAAGAGATGTTTGTGTTGTCTTTGGTGTGCTAGGTTAGCACATCAGTAATGGTGATGGAGACAGGTTTCACTGAATCCCATATAAATTGTTCATATTTATAAATGTTTATTAATTCAATTTAATTATAAATGTTTATTAATTCTGTTGTTCTGCTTTAGGCTGCTTTTATCCGTGATGTTATGATGCCTGGTGAATGGGATGTTTGTGTTACATCATATGAAATGGTAATTAAAGAGAAATCAGTCTTCAAAAAATTTAACTGGAGGTACCTGGTAATTGATGAAGCCCACAGAATAAAGAATGAGAAGTCAAAGGTAAACTTAAAATTATTTGATACTTTAAATTTGACATAAAAGATTCTATCTGATTTTAACAGTTTTTTTAAATGTTACGGGTGATGTTTTTCTAAATATAAGCTGTAAGCTATTGGGTTGTAAATATGAATTTAATAGGTAGCTTGTGGTCTTGAAATTTAGTTGACATTGCTGCAGGTTTCAGAAACTGATGAAAATTCATTATGCTTAAATGTACATGATGATGATAACTATTTGTTGTATTTCCAGCTGTCAGAGATTGTACGTGAGTTTAAGACAACAAATCGATTGCTGCTTACAGGAACTCCTTTACAAAATAACCTCCATGAGCTGTGGGCATTACTCAATTTTCTTTTACCTGATGTCTTCAATTCTGCAGATGTAAGTTGAGGTTTGGAAGTACAGTCTTGTTACTTTGATTCCTAGGCTGCTATCTGCAGAAGACCTGCAGTGACCAGCCTGGTAAGTGACATATGATGTGGAAGACCTGGATTCAGTAGAAGCTCTGTGGCCTACCTAACTCTAGACTACTTTTTTTGCTCTACCTAGTTAAAACAGTACATTCTGTTAGTGTAGATAAGGCCTCAGGCAAGTAGAAGTGAATTTAATGCTTTAACTACTTCAAGAATTATGCCAAATGGAACAAAATTTGGGAAAGCAATGCAGAATGAAGTATATGAAGCATCCAAATAGATGTAAGCCTTTTTTTGTTTAGAGTTTGAGTCCTCTCTCCCCTCTTTTCCTGCTAATGTTTCCTTGTACTTGTATTGCTTGCTTCCATTGTTTTTGCTCTGATGTCCATCTCACTTAAGTAAGGATTCTGGTTTCTTTTTTCATTTGTTTTTACCTTCTTACCCTGTCATTTTTCTCGATTTATGCCACACTGCTGGAGTGAGAGAGAGTCAATATGTGTCTGTTAAAACTACAGATGATAAACTGTTCATACGAATTGTGCTGTTTTTCACCACAGGATTTCGACTCATGGTTTGACACTAAAAACTGTCTCGGGGATCAGAAACTTGTAGAAAGACTTCATGCTGTAAGTAATTAAAGCTGTAATTGCATGTCATTGCTAGCGTACATGGTGTAAAACAGAAAACCAGGTTGTTTCCCCCTTCACCTCAAAGCTGAGAAGATGAATGTGAGGGTATTTTGTTACCGAAATGCCCAGCAGAATTTTAATGAATTAAATATTGGAACTTAATATTATAGATGGTGCTTTTAGTAACTTAAGGTTTTGTCTGCTTCAAATGGTATGCATAAAATGTGAAAATTATACATAAAATGTGAAAATGAAGAATTTTGAGACTTTTTGGAAACAATTTCTTATTGTGGATAGTATACTGATATGTCTTGTACTAGTCTGAATAAAGGCATGCCTTTACCTTTGTTTTACTGTGCATGAGAAGACATTTTTCATACAGTAACAACAAATCAGAAAGAAGTACAACATACATTGCTTCTCGTTGACATGTTGCTGTATTTTGTATATGCTGCTAGTGGAAATGAAACAGAGCTTATGTTAGAAGGTAATAGATTTCATAAACTTATGGCTTTTGCCCTTGCTTAGGATAACAACTGGGATGAATATGTCAATCTCTAAGCAGTGTTACATATTTATATGTGAACTCTGCCTATGCGTGGCCAACTTAATTTTGCAGTTGTCAGCAGAATTTTTCAGAAGAGTCACCATGAGAGCAATAGATATTGATTAGTTCTGAGTAAATATCAGATAATTGAATCTATTAATTTTGTATTTGAGGCAATCAATTTTATGAATGTATCTGTGGAAAAACTTCATTCGTGTAGGTTTTGAAGCCATTTTTATTGCGCCGCATAAAAGCTGAAGTAGAAAAAAGTTTGCCTCCAAAGAAGGAAGTAAAAATTTATCTTGGGCTCAGCAAAATGCAGAGGGAATGGTGAGTTATTTACGTCAAAATAAGATTCTTTGCTGATAAAGAACACTAGAGCTCTTCACGCTGACTTTTTTCCTTGTAGTTGCATGTTAAGACAGTCAGATGGAGAAGCCTCTTTATAGCTGTCTTTGGGTTTTTTTTTTTTAAAGATACACAAGTTACAGTGCCCGGGAAGAGTAACGAAAACGTTTGGGAGGAAGAAAGCAGAAACTTCTTTTCCTTCCTTAATTTTATTTGAAAGAATATATGCCTAATAACTTTATTCCTTTGATCCAAGTATGTGTGCTCCAGTAAAAGTCTGAGCTGAAATAAAAATAAAACCTTGAGGAGCCCCCACTCCCAGAAGAGATGTGAGTAATGGAGCCAGGTCAGCGTAGCAGCTTCAGTCATACAAGTGGTGTCTTTAATCCACTTTGTAGTCTTACAAATGAAGTGTAAGATAACCCAGTAAGTGACAGATCACTCACAGATAAATTGCCTTTCATGTTTAGGTGTGGATTTATAAATCCTTATTGTCAGTCAGACATTTTCATCATTTTTCACCAAGTTTCATAATAATACAGCTCACTATTATATAAACAAAGCAAACTCCCACACCCAGAAATAAGTAATTGGGATATTGCAGGGTTTCATTCATGTTTTAAATACCAAATAAAAACTGAGAGGTTGTTCAAAATTACCTGTAAAACTTCAGGTATACAAGGATCCTGATGAAAGATATTGATATCCTGAATTCAGCTGGGAAAATGGATAAGATGCGTCTGCTGAATATTCTGATGCAGCTGCGAAAATGCTGTAACCATCCTTACCTATTTGATGGTGCTGAGCCGGGTCCTCCTTACACCACTGACACACATCTCATCACTAACAGTGGGAAAATGTTAGTTCTGGATAAACTGCTAGCAAAACTCAGAGAGCAAGGTGAGTACTGTTTATCAACAGTAGTGATCTGGGTGCTTGTTGTAAGTAAAACTGCCTTTCAGGAAGTGCACAGATTGATTTCTTGTCTCTTCTCCAGTGAATGCACTCATTACTTGCAGTGAGGGTTTTGTTGAAAATAATTTTTTTGTAGATCTTAGCACATGGAGGGAAGGAAGTCTTACAGGAATGATGGGGAAGACTAATTAATACGGGGAAATAGAAGGAAAGGAAGCACAGAGCCTCTCTTCTTGAAGAAAACTTCTGATGAGGGGATTAGTTTGTCTGTGCACATCTGTCATCAGCTACTTAATTTACCTTGCTTTTAAGTGTTGTGTTTCTTTAGCTGTGTACTTCTCTATAAATTGTCAAATAACATGTCTTGAGGAGAAGTTAAATCAATAGCAGAAAAGTAACTTCAGAAGAAAGACTCATTTGAGTAAGTTAGGCATAGTACAAAATATTTCATTTGAATTCTTACTCATGCTCTGTAGTAGGCTCTGTGGTAAGATTGATAGGAAAATGTAAAACCAATGACAGAGCCTTCTGTGGTATTCTGTCAGGTTCCAGAGTTCTGCTTTTCAGTCAGATGACTCGCTTACTGGATATTTTGGAAGACTATTGCATGTGGCGTGGATATGAGTACTGCCGACTTGATGGACAGACACCACATGAAGAAAGAGAGGTGAGTAAGTTGTATATAACTAAGATATGTCTTGTTTTACATATTAGATGATTACGAAGTTATTTTTATATACATATATATAAAAGTAGCTACATCATTGTTTAAAGCAAAGCAAAAATGCTACAGTTTAAAAAGGCTGTTAAGGGTATGTGTTTTTCATAACTGAAGTCCACAGGTTTCATTTGTTTCTCAACTAAATGAAACACAGTATTTTGATTACCCAGTTTTTTACTTCTGTAAAAAAGGGGGTTTGGTATGAGAAGTCTGTAAATTTCAAAGTTCATTGAAAAGCCACCAACATATTGGAAGCTTGTTTGAAAACTCTTGATGCTTTAATGACACTTACTTTTTGTCACTTTTTAGGAAGCAATAGACACGTTTAATGCTCCTAACAGCAGTAAATTCATTTTCATGCTGAGTACCAGAGCTGGAGGTCTTGGAATTAATTTGGCAACTGCTGATGTGGTTATTCTCTATGATTCAGATTGGAACCCTCAAGTAGATCTGCAGGCCATGGTGAGTTAACTCCCTAACGCACATCCAGTTCTTGAAGTTGGCATTGTTCTATTTTGTAGAAGTGTTTATAGAACTTGCATTTTAAAAAATTTTTCTTCTTGTATTTAATATCAAGGAACTAAAGAATCGAATAAAAAGGGCATGAACAGAAATGTTCAAGAAACTGTAGATTTTTCTCTGTAAATATGTCTTAATTATTTTCATAATTGAGTAAGATAACTTCTGACAAAGTACTGTATCAATATTGTTTATCCATAGAATTATTCTTAATTCTGTCTTTCCGTAAGACAACAATAAACAAGAGGGCTGTTTCCAAAATAATAGGAAAGAATTAAATACACGCAGCCTGATATTCCTCCTTTTGGGAAGCTTATGCTTTTGCAACCCAACTAGTTTCTGCATAAGTGTAAAGTCATTTGGTGGTGACACCAAGGAAAAAAACTCCAAAAACCTTATCTTTTGGGTTAAACATGTTAAATTCTTTTCTTTTTGAGTGCTGAATATAAAACAGTCAAGTCTATAACTTAGTTTAATATGGAATAAAAATCACATGATCCTTCTTGCATGATTGGCAGGTGGGGTATTTGTTCTGTGGCTTGGGTTTTTTGGGTTTAATGCACTTAAAACACATAAAATATTTACCGTGAATAAGTCATCCTTTCGATCTGCATGCTGACTACCAATAGTAGGCTGACTTACTGGAAATTGATGAGTGTGATTTGTGAGCTTTAGTAGGATTTTCAGGAAGAAATGAATATTACGCAGGAGAGTAAAAGATTGAAGGGCTCGTGTTTAAAGGACAGTTACAAAATCCTGGTACCAACAGCCTGAAGGGCAGTTGTTTATCTTTTTTTATTTAAAAGGAAAAAATAGTATTTTTATTAATGTTTTTTTAGAGAGAATAAACACAGGTTTTGTTACAAGTAAGTGTAGTATGTTAGTCATACCACCTTGCTTGCTGGGCACTCTACCTGTTCTGTGTGAGCTGCATCTTGATGCTTTAATGTAGCTAGCTTGGGACAACTACGATATTGAAACTGTGGCTGTGTGGATGTTGCTTATGGAATGAATATGCTTAAACCAGGGATGCCCAAGTTTCAATACCTGTGTCAAGTGACAGAACTAGTTTGAAAGCAGTGCAGATGCATGTATGTATATACTGGTGTATCTCCGCTTCCCAGTTGCAGTCTAGACAGACATTCATTATCTTCCCGTACAATGAAGTAGATGCATTGTTTTACTGTGTAATGACCCAAACTGAAAAGGTGTAATAGCCAGATATAAGTAAATATTACTATACTGGTCGTATGTTTTTGTATACTCCTGAATAAGCAAGAAACACATGCTAGTTTCAGTCTGCCATTTCTGCAAGCTAACTGTCTATTGCTTGTGAGTTTTTGTTGCTGAACACTCATTGATTTATGTTTGTTAGGATCGTGCGCATCGTATTGGTCAAAAGAAACCAGTACGGGTGTTTCGACTTATCACTGATAATACTGTTGAAGAGAGGATTGTAGAAAGAGCTGAAATAAAACTGAGGCTGGACTCTATAGTTATACAACAAGGTATCAACTGCTATATATGTTTGTCTGCAACGGAATTGTTCAGTCCCTTAGAGTCTGGGTTAAATAACTGTACAAATGTACAGTATGAGAGAAAGCAGGCCTTGTGTATAATAGCAGTACATTAAATCAACTTAAACTGTGCTTATGTCATTCACTTGTTCAGCTGAAATAATCTCTGAGAATTCTGTTTTCCTGAGTAATGTGGGCAAAGTCTTAGAATAAGACTTTACATGAGGAAAGCAAGCTACAGCTGAATAGGTGTTGCTTGTTTTTTTGTAATATGTCAAAAAGAAAAAAAGGCTAAAAAAAAAAGTTCCATGACAGATAAAAATAATTATATAGATGTGCTTTTTACCACGTATGAACTCACTGAACATTAAACCTGCTTCATGTGTCTTTGTTTAGAAGCTCTTGGAAGAATAGTTTGTCACAAACTAAGGCTGTCAAGTTTTGAAGGTTCTTTGTATTTCCAAAGGGGTGGGCTACTGAAAGGATGATGGTCAAAATTTTGATGGTCTGTGAAGAGATGAGCTAGTGATAAGTGAAATTTTGGGACAGATATTAGGATTTTGAGAAAAGTACGCAGAGATTTGGGCTGAAATCAGTGAAGTGAGTGTGAAAAATCTGAAGTACCTCTTAATGTTTATTACAGAACACTTTGTCATTTTTAATCTTGAAACAAGATTTTGATCTTAGAAGTTCAGCTGACTTTGTAAGAATAAGATCTTAAACATAAAATTTGGATTATCTGAATATGAAAAGTTCTTTTTTATGGCTTGATCCAAAGTTGCTTATTTTCCCTCAAGTTCTCTATTTCTGTTTATTTTTGGCTCAAGTGAAATGTCACTTTTTTTCTGTATGATTCTTCTGTTTTTCCTTTCTCGTTCTGCCAGTGAGCTAAAAACATCCACTGTTTGCATGGTCCTACTAGAACTCTTGTATTACAACTTTCAACATGTTTCTTCTAATTTTAGGAAGGCTCATCGACCAACAGTCTAACAAACTGGCAAAAGATGAAATGCTGCAGATGATCCGACATGGAGCCACGCATGTCTTTGCTTCCAAAGATAGTGAGCTGACAGAAGAAGATATAACCACTATTTTAGAAAGAGGTGAAAAGAAGGTTAGAGAACAGTTTTGTACTGAACTTGAAGTGTCAAACACTAAATGTATATTCACAAAATAGAAATTAAATCTAGTTTTATGCCTAATTATTACATTGCTAGTATTTTAAAGCTTACGAAAGTTTTGAAGGAGTGGAATTAGTGAGGTATAATTATTTTCAGTGTTTAAACTGTGTGCACCATATCTTAAACAGTGTTTATTTTGTGGGCTTTTAAAAATATGTGAATCTTACTCCAACTATTCTAATAGACACAAAACCTTTATGGAACTTTATTAGGGAATAGGTAGCTCTGTGGAAAAATGAACCACCATTTCAGCTCCAAAAAGTTTGGCATGAAGTTCATTTAAACTGAGGAATTAATTCATAGAGTTGTAGGGCTACATCACAGTATAATAAATTTAGTGTAATGGAAAGTCTTGGAGTCATATTGTTCAAAATTGAAAAGCACTGTGGGCATCTTTCCTTACAAGAAAAATGTTTAAAGCAGAAAAAGACATTGAGAATATTTCAGTAATGATGAAAGCTCTTTTTTCAGAATAGACAAAACAGCTTGAGTAAGCCTAAAAGTAGTGTCTTCCTGTATTTCTAGACAGCTGAAATGAATGAACGATTGCAGAAGATGGGGGAGAGCTCCTTACGAAACTTCACTATGGACACAGAGATGAGCTTATACAACTTTGAAGGTGAAGATTATAGAGAAAAACAAAAGGTAATTTTTCTTTAGTCTTTCAGGCTTCAGTTTAGAGGTGCAAGCATGAAGGCATTTGTTATGGCTATAAAGGTTATTCTAGAGAAGTATGAGCTACTGAAAAATTCACTTAGCTCTGCAGAAGCATCAGTATTCTGAATTCGTTAAATTAGCTTTCAGCCCTGCCGTTTTTTTCATGGTAGAACTTGATAATATTGCTCAAGTTTTATTCTTTTTGCAGCAAAAATACTATGTTGCATCCCACTATACTGCTGCAGTCAGTGTCATTTTACTCCCGCATAGCTGAGAGGGGAAATAAAGGCCTGTTGATGATTTTATGTGTAACGTGGACTTAAGTCTTTTTTCTCAGTGAAGGCTTTGGTCACAAGCATTCATGTGAACTGTTTGTACAACGACTTTCCTAATTACAGAAGCATCATCCAAACGAAGAGGTATTAGTCTGGGTCCCCCAGTATAACCTCTGCATCTCTGTATTGTATGAATCATAGAATCATAGAATGGTTTGGGTTGGAAGGGACCTTAAAGATCATCTAGTTCCAACCCCCCTGCCATGGGCAGGGACACCTTGCACTAGACCAGGTTGCTCAAAGCCTCATCCAGCCTGGCCTTGAAGACATCCAGGGATGGGGCATCCACAACATCTCTGGGCAACTTGTTCCAGTGCCTCACCACCCTCTCTGTGAAGAATTTCTTCCTGACATCTAATCTAAACCTCCCTGATTTCAATTTGTACCCATTACCCCTTGTCCTATCACTACAGGCTCTTGTAAAAAGTCCTCTCCCAGTCCCCTTGTAGCCCCCTTCAGATACTGGAAAGCTGCAGTGAGGTCTCCTCGGAGACTCCTCTTCTCCAGGCTGAACAAGCCCAGTTCTCGCAGCCTTTCATCATAGGAGAGGTGCTCCAGCCCTCTGATCATCTTCGTGGCCCTCCTCTGGACTCGCTCCAAGTGGTCAATATCCTTCTGTATGGGATGTACAGTCAAGATATCCTTAAGGTTTTACCTGGAATCAGATACATGAACTCTAATTTGTTAACTACAGAATGCCCTTCTAACCCAGGTTTCTTATTGATTGTAGAAGAGATGTTTAGAAAAATACAATATTCAATGAGAATGGAGTGGAATGTGTGCATATATATATATAAGATTCTGTTTTCTTGTTGCTTATTTCATTACAAGAAGTCACCTAAATAACGCATAGTCCTAAAATACGCTTTAACTTCAAGTAGTTTTGTTAAGATGAATACACTGCTAATGGATTTGATTTTTTGGCTAATGTTGTAGCCTCTGTAGAGGCTAGACTCTGTCATTGTGGTATTTAGAAGAGAAGCAAGTCATTCATATGACAAGATACAGAATTCAGAGCCCAAGTCCCCAGTCCTTCCATTGTGTTTTGGTAGATGGAAGCATGATTTTACCCAGGTGTCTGAATTAAGTAGAATATGGTAAAAGGATTCATCCATGATACAGCACTGCCTCACTTGTGTATTATCTTTTATGTGTTTAAAGAGTGGTATAATCAGTTATAATTTCTAGCTGATTTTTGAGCTCTGTTGTAGTATCCAAATTGTTGAGCACAACCATTAGATTTGCCATGCAAAAATGTGTTCCTGTTCTGCAGTACCACCTTAGTCATTATTTTTATGACTTTAGGAAAGCATGAAGTTATTTACTGTCTATTTTATTCTGTTCTGCATGTAGCTGAGCATGATGGAATGGATAGAGCCTCCCAAACGAGAACGCAAAGCTAATTACGCAGTTGATGCTTATTTCAGAGAAGCCCTACGGGTTAGTGAACCAAAAGTCCCAAAGGTAAGAAGTTGGCAAGTTTGGAGGGTTTTTTATTTTGTTCTTTTGCTTTTCTTCTCTCCCATGTGGCATCCCGTGCCCTCACCCTATACTGGTAATGAAATGAATGTATTTACAAAGTGATAGGTTGCCATTGCTGCAGTTTAATTGCACAGAAATCAAGCTTATATAATGTTAATATATCTGTATTTTTGAAGGCTCCCCGACCTCCAAAACAACCAAATATTCAGGATTTCCAGTTCTTCCCACCACGGTTATTTGAACTTCTGGAAAAAGAAATTCTGTATTATCGTAAGACTATAGGATATAAGGTAAAGCTTTTTTTTCCCCCCCTTCAGATTAGTCAAATGTATTTGTATTCTGCTTTGCACATTTACTGCAACCTTGACAATAGCTAAATAAAGTAAATGAGACAGCAACTAAAAAATATATCATTCTAGTCTGATTTTTTTTGCCAAGTGCAAAAAAATCCTTCTCATCGTGAAGGAAGATAGCTTAAAAACCTCTATTCCCCTGTTTCCCTTCCACTGCAGAGCACAAACAGCAATCTTGAATTCCTTACTTCATTAAAAATTACCTGTCTGTGTAGCTTTGTGTTTTGTAGTTGGCTCCTACCAATAAAATAGAGTAGAAAAAGAAAGGCAGTTCTGATGCTTCATATACTTGTCAAAACCGAAAGTGTGATGTCTGGTCTAAGGTGAGAAAATAATTTCGGCTAATATAAGATCACTTTCCAGGGCATGATTGGTATTTTTGGTACAGCTTTTGTATATCTTGGGCAGAAAGTTAGTATTGAAGTTAACTTTGTGTTGATGTGATGGTAAGCAAAGTGACATCAATTTTCCTTGCATTTTGCTTGGATATAAAATGTTTAAAGGTGTGGAGAAGTCTGAATATATTACTACTATGAAAACAAAACCAGACAACACACTTACCTTCTTTCTTCCTGCTATGCCTTAGCTGAATTTCTCTCCCTTCTCTGCTGACATAACTGGAGAATTGGTGAATACGGATTCTGGTTTAATGTTGATTTTCATTACTTGTGCCAGTATTGGCTGAGAAAATCAAATGGGTCCCTTACTTCCAGCCATGTAAATTACTTTAAAAAGCCCCATATTTCTTGGCAGGTTGCAGCAAGAAGAGATCACATATGAAATGTGTTGGAGAACATAAACTTGTCATGTGAAGCAACAGAGAGGAAATTGGTGTTGAAAAAAGTAGAATTAGTATTAGAAAAATATATTTTTAAGAAAAAGCAGATGAAGACTTTAGAATCTAGTTTGAAGCAAAAGGCATTTTATATGTATGGCAGGATAGAATTAAGAATTAAATGAAGTATAATTAGTTTAGGGAAAAACATTATTTCAGTAATGCTCCAATGAAAAAGGATGGGAGAATTGCTAATGTTGACCATATGCATGTCGAGACAGGTGTTTCAGTCCTGTTAACAATCTGTCAGGTTGGATAGGTCAAACATGAATACTTGTTACCTCAAAAACTTAGTATGACTGTTTACTGGTGGTGAAAGTGATAAATATCATTAAGTTCTGCGTTGAAATCGAAGTGTAACTTTCTTCAGATGGAAAGTTAATTAAAATTGAAGTCTGCCATAAACAGAAGTCTGAAGGTATCAAGTAGGTAGATAAACCTTCATGTGTCAGTCTTAACTTAAATCACTAAAGCCAAGGAAATGTCTTAGCCAGATGTTGAAAACAGCTCTTAATGTCCATTGCATTTTGCTGCAGAAATATGTAAGGGCTATCAAATCTCGATACTGGTTTCTGACTTGTTTGCTGTTGTGTGGGATGGAATTGCAATACACAGTTTAAAGGACACAAATATTAAATTGGTGTCAGTGTGAGAGAGAAAATGTTGCCAGGCCTGGTTTACATAGTGTTGTTTGCCTTGTCCTTCCTTTGGCACTGTGCATGGCTTTATAGTAAGCCCTGCAGAACTTAGTAATTCACTGTAGTTACAAAACATTATAAACTGTTGGAACCTTAGCTAATGAAAAGTGCCACTGAAATCAGTGAGTTATGGCAGCTTACGCTGGGTGAGGCTCTGCCTCTCACAATATCCCATAGTCATTGTGTGTAGAAGTGGTGAGTACAGGGCATAACAGGGCTATAACATACATTTAATGAAACCTGGTCCTGTTTGGGGAGGAAGGTTTTAAGCAGTAAGGTTCAAATCTAAGTAAAACACATTCAGTAGCTGTTGTACAGATCAGTGCTTTAATATTTAATAGCTGGAAAAAATGTATTTTACCATGTACATGTGTTCTACAGTGTTTTCACTGAAGTTTCTTAAAGAAATTGTGAGTAGGACCCTTTTGTTACTTACAGTGAAGGTAAACTTTAAGAGCTTGTCAGGGAAGGAGGAACAAGCGCTGATAAATGACAGTATTTGATACATCACCTTGTCTTGGAGGATAATATTTCCAATTTTGTAACAGTTTGGTAGATACTGATGAAAATATTCCAGTGATTGTTTAAAAGTTATTTTTATTGGTGTCTGGTTTCTTCAGGTTAGCCAGGGTGTGGAGTGGTGGGGTGTTTGTGTTGTTTGGGTTTGTTTTTTTCTGTTCTGTGACAACAAATGCTTAGGGGGTGTAGATTATATCCGTCCTGTGAGATGGAGTGTGCTGAAAAATTGTAAACAGAGTTTGATAGGGAAGTATGCAGTCTCATTAATAACATTCTGCACTACTGCTTAATTGATACCCCTGATTGTAGGTCCCCAGGAATCCTGACCTGCCAAATGCAGCTCAAGTACAAAAAGAGGAACAGAAGAAGATAGATGAGTCTATGCCTCTGAATACTGAGGAAACTGAAGAGAAAGAAAAGCTTTTAACACAGGTAACGTAAGAACAGCTGAAGTATTTAATCATATATTTTACTGCTATGGAATATAAATATTAATAATGATAAATACGCACAGGGAAGCTACACTGATCTTATAGAAAGAAGGAAGCACACAGCACATAATGATTTTGCTTGGTTTTGCTGTGATGGACCTTTCCTGTCCTTGAACAAGTTTATGCCTTAGTCACCTACTATTTCCTTGTATGTGTACAAGGTTTCTGAGGCAAGGACTTGTATAGCAGATGCTCTACCCAGCAATATGTGTAGAGATGCAATCAGTGTGTTTCCAGTATGTACATCTACCTTGCACCTTTTTTTAATCAAAAAAAGGTTTGAATCAGGGAAGACAAACCTCTGTCAACATACATGGTATTTACACAGATGTATAACACCTCATGTCACAGTCATTAATTTTGTCCCAGTTGGGTTGTTAGGCATATTCCTCTTACACTGGGATGGCATCCCTGTCACTGGCTAGTGTCTTGAGTTTTTGGACTGTTAACCTCCTGAGTAGGCTTGTGAAAGAATATTTGTTAAGGAGAAAGGTCTGTCTCAAAAAATAACATCGTTTTTTTTGATTTGGAAAATTTTCTCAAAGAATTGATGTAGTGTACCTTGAAGAAATGTGCAAGGTCACAATTTGACTGTTAATTTCACCTGTTTATGGCGGAGGAAATATTTAAGCTGGTGCTGATATGCATGTCAGTACTGCTGTTAATGATAAAAAAGCAGTAGTTGTATTGTGTATACAGGATTTCTTATAAAGATGCTATCTAATTGTGGACTGAGCTTATTCAGCTGGATAACTGACAGAGTTCCTGGTAAATTTATTTTGTGATGAAAGAAACTCAGCACACTACAAATTGCTGTTTAGGCATCTGATTTCCTTGTTTGTTTGTTCTTGAGGTTTTCTCCTTTCCCTGTCTAAACTGTAATGTCTCATTCTTGGGTGATGTTTTTGTGCATTGCATCTCACGACTGTTACTCAGTTTTAGGTTCATTTATTTGGTACAAAACAAATTTTCTTTTTGACAGTGCTATAGAGTTTCCATTTGATTGTATCTTTTTCGACTAGAGATCATTTCTTGACATACTTATGCTTTCCTCCAGCTGTTTGACTGGCTCAGGGTTTGTAAATGTCCAAAGCAGGAGTTCTTGCTGTAGGTACTTGTACTACCCTAAAAACTTGTAATGACACTTGCATTGGTGCACCCCAGACTCCTAAGACATTTGTGGATTGTCAGCTGAAGGATGACAAATAAAATTACAGTAACCTGTCATTGAGCTTGGTTCTTGGAGAAATACTATGTAAAAAGGTTAAAAAGAAGGAAGACTTAAAAACTCTTACTAATGTATGTGGAGTCATGCACAAAAGTAACTTCTAATGATTCAGAAATAAACACTGGATAATACAAGCTTATGGAAATCCTGAAAGACCATTAACCATTGTAAGTACGTGACGTTGCAGAGGCATTGCCAGTTGGAGCGAATAATGCGTAAGGCAGAATTTTGCAAAATGTTTCCCTTCTGCCTAGTAAGGCCTTCTTGTTCTCTTGCTGCTTACAGGGTTTTACAAACTGGAATAAAAGAGATTTTAACCAGTTTATTAAAGCTAATGAGAAATATGGTCGTGACGATATAGACAATATTGCCCGTGAAGTGGAGGGGAAATCACCTGAGGAGGTCATTGAGTATTCAGGTTTGATATTTTAAAATGGATTTCTTAATCATGTGGTGTCACCATAATGTATGTTACATGTTCTTTAAAAATTGCAAGATGTAGAATTTGGATGTGTGTAAGAATAATTTTTTTTTTTTAGAAGTACATGATGGTTCTTTCTTCAGAAGATGCAAATCTGTTAAGGTTTGAATTTTCAGCATATAAATATGCCTTCAGATGCCTTTATCCTTTAGTCAAAATTTAGAACTTAGCATAGTTAATTTACATTGACAACATAGTCTTTTGGAGTCATGAAGTTGCCTTATAGTGGCAACATGATTCTTTCTGCTGTGGTGATACATGATGTTTTAGCTAGTACGCTGTCTTTAGTATTTACACAATGCTTTTTAATTTCTACAGAATTCTTCCTTTTCTTCCTTGGTTTTAATTTTACTAAATGCCTTCATAGAATTTAACTTTGCAGTTTTCTTCTTAAAGCTTAAAAAGTAAGAGCTCTACAACAGTTCCCTTCAAAATGCTGAATTTATTTTGGGTTGACTAAAAGATGTCAGTGGAGAGGCCACGAATTACTAGTTTTCAGAAGAGACAGACAAAGCAGTCTCTCACCTTAGAGATAGCTAGTGAAAGCTGAAATATGAAAGTTTCGCTGCTAGAACAGCAGCTCTAACCTGTTTCATCAGTGTTATGAAAAGATATCCTTTTTTTTGAGTTTTACATGACTGCAATGAATTTTGTTTAATGTAAACTTTGTTACAGTTGATACTAAACCTTTGCTTCTGAGTCACTTTTAAAGACATTGAATGAAGGGTCTGTGCAAGTTTATTTCTTGGCTAACATAGTAAAGAGGGGTGAGTATTAGCAAATCTTTAAGATTTACTGGAACCACAGACTGCATTCCATTTTTGCTGGAGTGCCTCAACTGTGCAATGTAACAAGAATAGAGGAAAATGTTTTATTTTACAAATGGTGTTTTGTGTTTTTAGCTGTTTTTTGGGAACGTTGTAATGAACTCCAGGACATTGAGAGGATTATGGCTCAAATTGAACGAGGCGAGGCAAGAATTCAGCGGAGGATCAGTATCAAGAAAGCCCTCGATGCCAAAGTAATCATTGCAGGTTTTCTAGTTTCTGCCGTTGACTTCTTCCAAATTCCTTAATAAAAGGAATAGCTGGGGATGGGAATGCTATCTTTTTATATAGCATATATTTTATACTATGTATCAGCAATTTACACTAATATGTAATAAAACCTTGATGTAATGTTGTATGTTTAATGGTCCTTATTTTTGTTTTGCATTCAGATTGCAAGGTATAAAGCACCTTTTCATCAGTTGCGTATTCAGTATGGAACAAACAAAGGGAAAAATTACACAGAAGAGGAAGACAGATTTTTGATATGCATGTTACACAAGATGGGCTTTGACAAAGAAAATGTGTATGAGGAACTAAGGCAGTGTGTGCGCAATGCTCCTCAGTTCAGATTTGACTGGTTTATCAAATCTAGAACTGCAATGGTAGGTATCAGTTACGTGGATTAAGTCATGATATGAAGTACCTTGTTCTTTTTAAGCACTGTCACAGAAAATTTGGATTTGTGCCAGAACGTTGGGGGTTTACAAAACAAGTGCTGGAAAAGTAACTTCGGTTTTTATTCTCAGTTCTAATTTTTAATAAAATAGCCTTTTCCCTTAGTACAGCAAACAGCACAATACAGCTGAAACAGATTGGAAAACATGCTAAGTTGAAGTTCCATGTTACCCAAAGGCATTAATACAGAGGTCGACTATCATTACAAATATCCTTGGTACTTTTAATGCAAACAAAGTCTTGCCCAACAGTCTCTTAAAATATGACTGCTTTTCAGAATTGTTGGACCATCTTAAAGACTGAAATCTTAAGACATCTGTATTATATATTGGGAGGAAAGAACAGCTTTGCTTAATGTTGGTACTTAATTTCTAAAAGCATGAGGAAATTCAGCGATCCGTGTGAGAGTTAATCATTGAAGCAATTGGTTTAAAATGCGCTTTGCGACTGTGAATGAGGATTATCACATGCAAGTGCTTAAATTTTTTTAGTTACATTTTTCTGAAGATTTTGTTCATACTTAGAGAATACAGGTTTGATAGCAAGTGGACTAGTACTGTGAATTTTAACTGTATTTTTTTTTCTTTCTCTGTCTGAAGAGCAGAGCCAGTTTTTTTAATTTAGTCATTAAGTGGGAAGTGATAACGTTAACAGAAGCTTTGGTGGTTGCAAATATTAAACTATGTAGGTACCAACCTCTGAATATGGAACTCTTTTAATGATGAAAAGCTGTTAGGTCTGCCCTGGAATTTTTGCTCAGATTGCCCCTGATTCAGTTCCTTTTTCTTATGAGTAGAATTTGTAAGTCTGTGCGCGTTATGTAAGAAACACACACGTGCATTTTCCTGTGAACTTATTTATTTGAGAAAAATACACTTCCAAATTTTTTTATGATACTGGAAATAACTTCATCTTCCTCACTTGAAATAAGTGCGAGCTGGAACACTTTTTTGTCTGCTTGAATACAAAACCATATTGGTCACGGCCGATACAGAAGAGAGCACACTGTCCCTTAACAATGGTCATAAATTCTCCCCATTGTCTTGTAAGCAAATTTCTAATTAAATGCTATGCTGCAGTCGTGTAACTTAAATATAATTTAATGTACAAACCTGGATTTTTTTTTTAGTAGTGTAGTCTAGCAATTGCAGAATCACTGTGCATTATTGTTTACTGTCTTCATTTCCTGGCCTTGGGATTTGTTTATAAAATGTTCTTTCAGAGTTCTGCATACGATACTAAGAATAAATAAAACATAAGATAAAATATTTAAAATGTGTATTTGAGCAGGTGGGAATATTTGCTTTTCCAAGTGCTATTTATAATTGTGCAGTACAGTTTCTACTTGATATTTCAGCAATTAAAGTGTTTCTGGATAGTGCAGCAGTTATCCCTTAATTAAAAGACTCACAAGCTTTTCTTGCTAAAATGTCTGTTTGACGAAATACTGGATTTCAAATTATGTCCATAAAGAGAGAAACCTCCAATATTTAGTCTATTGTGAAGTTTCTTTAAAGCTGTCTGTGGAGGAATCCATTTAAGTAAATCATAGAAATGTGTACTAGAAATTAAAAATGTAGCTCAACATTTAATATTAGTTGACGTATAGTTAAGTTGGGGTAGAGTTAAATATTTGGTTTAAATCTTGCAGATCCTTATGTTCAGTGTAATTTTCTCTTTAAAGGGAGTAGGTACCATTTGCTCAAGTGTAGAAATACGTTCTTTGGTGTTTAATGCTGAAATTGAGGCACTGGGAATATGAAAGTGGGTAAAACTTCTTAGAGTACTGAAAGTCATCTGTGATTTCAGAATTGCCCTGTATTACATTGAAACTGATGTGAAACACGATGAAGGGCAGTGTAATTCTGAAAAGGACTTACCAGTCTTTCTGAAAGAAGAGTGTTCTCACCACTAGATGTCTCTTGAATTCCACATTCCAATCTAGCTTCCATCTTATTTCTGTTTCTTACCCTTCTGGAGATTTCTCTTTGAGAAACACAAATTCTGCTTCATTTATTTATTCCAAAACCAGACAGTTTACACAAAATGTAAGTTTTCAGAGAGATTGAGAGTGCTTAAAATTGTAACTGGGCACAGAGGTTTAAATTTTTAAGTTTAGTTGTTATTATTCTTTTATTTCTGTCTGTGCAGGAAGAATGCAAAATATGGTGGAGTACTGACTGAATCACGTATCTGATTTCTGAAGTCATAAATTATGCATATTCTCTTTTACCTTACTGCAAAGCCCGTATAAGACAAATGACTCCTTTGTAAATACAGGGATATATGGGCCTGTTGACAGAGCTTAGGACTACTTTCACTCCCAAGTCAGCATCTGTGCCTTCAGTCATGCAGAAGGTGATGGTTCAGTGCTCCCATCTTATTTATTGCAATACTAGTCTTTATAGCTATGAAGGGGTGAGCAAAGTACATCTTATCTCTTCCCATCCTAAAGAGAAAAGTATCAGGCCATGCTGAATAAAAGCTCATCTCTAAAGGTGCAAAGAATTTTAAACTCTTAAGTGTATTTTTACAGTACTAAAATGGAATGGATTGGTCCATAGTGAAATTTCAGTAGCTCAGTGCAGGATTTATCATGCGGGTTCTTTCTGGTGGTAGGTGCAGAAGAAACCTGTGTGCATGTCCCATCTTGCTGTCAACGGTTTCTGTGATTCTCCAAGATAAAATTGTTTTTGAGTCCATCCTCTGTCCACAGCATGTTGTTCTGGAGTAGTACCCATCTGGAAAGCCTAGCCATGAACCTGTATGCTTTAATAAGTGTGTACATCTTTGCAAGCATTTTTCCCCAGAAAAAAGGAGGATTTTTCGTAGTGCCTTGGGCAGTGGGATCAAGGTTGTTTCTTAGTCCTTTCTGATTAATTGCTTGTCTTGAATTGAACACAAACCAGTTTCTCATATACTAGAAAAGAATCTAGGTGATTGCTATTATGGAGCATTTACAACTCCTAACTCTGAGGGCAATGCACACAAATGTGAATGATGTAGAATGCTTCTGTCACATTGCCAATCATCATCTTACTTCTGTGTTTTACTTTTTGTCATCTCTATTATCAACAGAGTGTAGGCTTTTGGAACAGAGGCTCTCTTGTTCCATTTTTGGGGATGCAGTGTATTTTGGAATGGCTTGCACTGAAGTTTCCTGACGTTTTACCTTTTTATCTAAACACTTGTGTGGGTGCAGTTTGAGGGCTTTTATTGGTTGAAGTGAGAGTATTTTAGCTCCAGCAGAACTGTCACATTCCAGGGCACAAGCTTGGAGCCCTGATTTATGGTTGAACCTGTACTGTGGGGTGTGGTGTTACTTTTACATGGATGTGTTAGTATTATAATGAGACATTTCTGAGTGCAAAACTACATGCACGACGTAGGAAGGTTTCTGGTAGGGAGTAGTAAAGAAAAATGTCTGAATTTTTTTTTTGTGCGTGCTAAAAAAATTAATGTGGTGGGAGGATTCTGTGTCCATTCTGAATTACACAGCTTTCACCCAAGGCCATGGAGCCTCCTTCATAGAGGAATCTCTGGAAACAATGGAACTTTAAAGAATGCGGTTAAGCTTGAAGGTATTAGCATCTCAAACATGAGTCATGTGCCTGACTGTTTCAGAACTCAAGAAAGCATGCAGGCTGCATCGTTTTCCATCACATAATGTGGTGGCTGAGGCAGTGTACAGGTTACAGATGCTGAGAAAATAGAGACTAATTCCTGGGCAAGAAGGTCACCTGTTCACTTCATTGCAAATAGACCAGTAGTAGATGAAAATTTATGCTACTAGGTAATTCTAGGGTAGCTTGTAGTTCAAAAATTGCTCTATTGAATTTAATAGGGATAAGACATACTTTTCCAGGTTTCTTTTTTTTTCGCAGAGGAAAGCTTCCTGCTTTGAGTTGGAAAGAAAAGCCATGGAATCGCTGTTCTTAATGTACATAGAAAATAGTGAACAATTATAATAAAACCGAGTACTACTATATATTTAGTAAGAGATCTTTTTGTTTGAGATGGGATACAAGAAACTGTCCAAGTCAAATGAGTTCTATTAACCACACCAACTGTGCTAACTGTAATGCAGACACTTTCAGAGTTGTGTTGGGAATGTTTTTAATGTATAAATGACCTTACGGCATTTGATCTTTGATCATTTTCGGATTTTTTGGAAGCCTTGATGCTAAAAGGCATTTAGGGTTTTTTGGGTGCTGTTTAACTACAAATACAACTGTGAGTTATGATTTTAGACTGGATACATCTTTGCCAGTTTGGAGCTCTATAGTATCTTATCACAAAAATCTTGTGTGTGTGTCACAGAAAAATATTGCTTAAGATAGCTTTGATTCCTTTTCTCTCTGCTTTAAAGATATACTTGAAGCCCTCTCTTCCTAAAATCTGGCATAGAGTGCTGGCAGGCTATAGTTTGCTTCATCTAAGCAAGGTGAATGATCAGATCAGTCTTCTGGGGTGTCAGTTTGGAAGATCCTTTGGACAATCATGAAAACTCCTTGTCAGGAGGTTGAATATTTCAGTAAATCTGTGTTTATCAAGAAGGTTACACTAAGGTAAAGACAGATGAACAGTAACTGAGCTCATCTTTTTAGTACATAAATATTGAACATTTTTGGAAATCCTAAGTATTTTGGGATTCAAGAATTTTGAACATACGTAAATGAGAAAATTTGTGTAATTTATTTAGAAAATCTGTTGTTTTCTGTTTCCTTAGGAGTTTCAGAGACGCTGCAATACTCTTATATCTTTAATAGAAAAAGAAAATATGGAAATCGAGGAAAAAGAAAGAGCTGAAAAGAAGAAAAGAGGAGCAAAAGTTACAGCAGTATGTTTAGCAGCACTTACTTTACTTCTTGCGGGGCAGAATTCAATTATATTTTGTTAGGAAATGAGAAAGATAATTGTAGCCACTAATTGTTGTAATATAACCCATTAGTTGAGGGATTCAACTGATGAAATATTTGTCTATTCACAGCTCTCCAAGATTTTATGTAGTTATTCCCAATTCATAGTGTGTTGGGGCTTTTCTAAGAGTTTTTTGTCTAAGTAGTAGATGAAGACACTTTTTTAAGAAAACATAGCACTGCCCTCTTCCTACCTGCATATTTACACCATATGTTTGCTTTAATTTTATCTCAGATTGTTATTCCTCTCCCACATAGTAGTTCCTGGAAGAAGAAATAATAAGTCAAGAAGAGATAGTAGTGCTTCTTTTATTTTGAAGAGTTGTCATCTTTAGAACAGAATTGTGTATAAGTCAAGGTCCTGATCTTTTCATCCAGTTCATGGTATGTGTGGTACCTGTACCATTGACACCATGTAATGATTTCAAGAAGATAAAAAGGGTAGCAGAATTAAGTGTCTAGATCTGGGTGTTTTTGTTTGCCCTTCTGTTATATCCTACAAAGCCGAATTGAAACACATTAGGGTTACTTATCTCCTTTTTGAATATTTAGTCATGTACTTCATTTTTCCTTAATAATGACATCATTTTGTTGAATTCATTATTATTTTCCCCCCGCCCTTTTTAGTCACAGAAGAGAAAAGCAGATTTGGCTACGGAGAACTCTGGAAAAAAAGATGCGAAGAAAGTGAAGTCATGAACCTGAAAACTGAATGCAAAATGTAAAACTGCCGCATAGTTCTCGCTGTCTACAAGTATTAATTGCCAACTTCTTTGTATTCATGGTACTCTTCCCCCAGATCCCTTGGTTTAATTTTGCAAATTTTGTATACTTAACAGTGTCTTTCTTTCCCTGAAATGTGTAGCTTTATATCTTAGGCATTCCAGTATTTTTGTGTACTGTATTTTGTGAGTTTTATGTCTCTGGCAAAATTCACTCAGTCCTTGGTTTTTTTTGAAGCTTGTGCTGAGGTTTTAGCTTTTATATGTTTTATATGCTGCTGCTTTGAAGGAAAACCTAGATTCTGTAGCTGTATTATTGTCATTTCATATTCTAAATTTATATGGCTGTTGGAAAATAAACTGACTTAATTATTTGAAGAGAAATATACTTCACCTTTGTTTTCCCTACCCTCTCACCCTTTCTTGTATAGCTAGGTTTAGAGCGAATGTTAAGGTTTGTATAATTGTGCCTTCATCATCGATCAGATTTTTTTATTTCCAGAGGAGTACTTAGATAGGATCAGGAGCATGACAGAACAAAAACAAATAATCTAATTAGACTGACATCCTTGTTTGCTGTCAGCATTAAACTGATGTTTTTCTCTGAAACAATCAAAAGGAAAGCTAGCAAATACTTTTTTTTTTTTTTACCACTGGTCTCTGGTGGGCTTCCTACGTGCTTAAACATAGGGTGAGGTGTTTTTCAGGATGATGTCTGGGTGAAAACTTTTCTATGCCTAATAAACTGAACTAGTCAACTAACAGCTTCTTTGTTAAGTAACAAACAAAATAATTCATCTTCTGGTTGGTGGGCTGCTCAGCTATGCTGCCTTGTGCTGAAAGATCTTTGTTGCTCTAATTATCTCTGCTAACTTTCTGCTTTTACCTTTGATTCAACATGTCAGTCAGAAGCAACGGGGATATGCTACAGAGTGCTCCTTCTTAGTATTTCTGTTTTAATGAAACGATGAAAGTGTTGGATGTATGATTTTTTGACTGTGCAAGAATGGCCTTTATTAAGCAGGTTCATAGTTTCTGCTCACCTTGGAGTCTCTGCCTTTCCCGGAGCAGTAGAACAGTGACTGTGACATCTAATATTTTACTTTAATCTTCTGTCTCTGATCTGGGGTTTAGTATGGACCTTTCTGGAGTGAGACATGCCCTCATAATGTCAAGTCTAGATTAATGCAGTGTGCTTTACGTGGGAAGCCTACTTGTGAATTTCTTCTCGTGCAGTTTGCTTCTGTCTGTGGTTTTGAGGTGTTTTGAGATGAAAAAAACTCTTTAAATTCTTTGTATTTCATGCTTTGCATGGGCTATGTTATTCTGTATTTGTAAAATTCAGAACTTCTTAAAAAGTTCTTGAGTCTTAGGACAGAGTTCTGCCCATATTCTTTTATGTCATTTAAAATACATTGGAATGTCTTTGAAGTTTTCTGGGATTAATCTCTAGGCTTGAGTAATTTCCAGTCTTTCTTGATAGCCTGTGTTTAAGGTTTGGGGCAAAATGGGTGTGAGGACTTTTGCTTTCATGATTTTGGAACGAAGCTTTTGTTTGGGGACCAAGTTATTAATTCACTGGGCTTTTATTTGTAAGGCTTGTAGGGTAAAAAATGGAATTCTTCTGATGAGAGCTACATCTGATAATGATGGGACACAACTTTCAGACAGAAGGCTACTGATGGTTGTCAGTGCATGCTTTCAAATGAGTATGCAACCCAGATGACATAGGTCTGCTCAGAAAAGGATATCTTTTCAAATCGTATTTTTGGTATTGGAGTAGTGGACATACTGCTTTATCCTTGGGAGAAAGACATCCCATGTAATTATGGGCTGGAAAGAGGCTGTGCAGCTACATACATATATAATCACAAATCCCTGGGACGTTGCTATTAATAGGGAGAGGAAGATGCTTTATTTACATTTGCTTTTTGATTCCCATGTTACTAAGTAAATTTGGCCGGAAATGATGAAAACATGTAAAAAGAGGAGGGGAAATAAAGGCTGGAAGAACCAAATGACTTTTTTTTTTTAAATTGAATTGCCTGGCTACGTCTAGACCTTATTCTGTTGCTCCTATTTAGCAGCAGGTGACTCTTTTTTAATGTTTTAAGTCTTGAAATAAGCGTATTCTGGTTTTGTTTATTATAGATTAGCTTTGTTTCACTTGCATGGTTTTGTGTATCCAGTTTCTCTGTGTTACAGAGTATGGAAAGTCTTAATACAGTAATATCTCAAGTTGTTCTTTTATGCAGATTTCTTGGTTTGAGTTACCTGAGTTTGAGTTAATGTTCACTTTTCTCCTCTTTCAATGACATGATATACCAGCTGTATAGCAAAAGATCATGCGATTGTTCATCCAGATATTATCCTCTTGATCAGACAGCTTCTCTGAATGATAGATGCTCCCAGGAACTACCTGTTATCTCTTACAGTCTGTAGTTCCTAGTTAAACTGAATGTCCTGTTGAACAACAGTCCTTGAGAGCACTTGTGCACTATATACTAGTTCCTCAGCATATTGTGCCTTCCCATCCATCATGTCCTACAGTGATAACTAAAGAAAATTGCTAACAGCTGCTGGTCAGGATTAAAGTAAAATGGATCTTTCTTTTTCCTTTTCCATTCTTATAGTTGCAGATACACGCCCAGAATGTGCCTAGCAGTATCTAAATGATATGCTGCTGTGACTCAGAATTAGATGGACTGAAGGAATCTTCCTGCTTTTAACTACTGTTTTCTTAGGTGTGGAATACTGTCTGTAAGAAATTTGTAAGCACTGTGTAGCATGACACAACTTCTGAAAATTCTGGCCTTTAGGTAATTTAATAGTTGCAAAAAAAAAATTGACATACACTTTGAAAGTAACTTTTTCTTTCCTTTTGAGTAGACAATTAAAATTTGGTTGTGTTAGCATTAGGCTTGAAGAAAGAAAAAGTAGTCACCTAGCACCTTTCCCACATCTGGCACTGCCCCTTCCATCCTGGGAGAGGTCACAACTGTTGTGTTCTTTTTCTTTTCACATATTCATCACTTTCAAATGATCAATCCTTTTATTTTTGACTTATGTTAGTGATGACAGTCACACAGCTGACCATCTTTATTAGAATTAATTTCAGTTTATTGTAGTGACAAAAGGAAGGGAGCTTTCACCCTTCTGGTATTATTAGACTGTCTTTAGATACTGTTTGTGCAAGTTCAGTGTACACTAAAACATGAAGTAATATTTTTTTTTTGGTAGATTAGCATTGCTTGTTGATTTAGTGCTAATGCTGGTTATGGTTTAAAACCCCCAGCTGTCACTCTTTGAGATCATCAGCAAGGAGGACAGTGTGTGGAAATTAATCAGAATCTTACCAAATGTTTGCTGGAAGTAACTTCCACTCTGCAGCTCCTGCAGTTCCTGCTGTGCACTGCTATAGGCACTCTGTGCATGCCTCTTCCCCAAGTTCAGTGGAGGGATGACATACTTTCAGTGATCACAGATTAATGCCAAAGCTAAAAACGTGGGCCTTACAGGTTGAAAAATCATACAGAATTTTGCAGTCAGCAGCGGTTTATGTGAACATAAAATGGCATGGTTGGTGCAGACGGTGGCACTTGCGGTCTTGGAGGGGTTGATCACTGACTGTAGTTCGGATCTGGTTAAGATAGCTTGGTACATTTTATTCGTGTTTATCTAGTCCGTATTGTAAATGCTTCGGTGGGTCACAGTTACAATGTTTGATATGTTCTTTTTCTGAAAGAATTAAAGCTGACCTTGGTTTGCATATATTTTGAAATGTAATGTACTCTTTAATTGCTTCTGCATGGTATCCATCCTTTCATAAGAGCCTTAATAGGAGTAATATTTGCTGCCTCAAAGGCATGTCTACATTGTGTTGTTGAAAGATAATTTCTGAAGTTTCCCAAATCAATTTTCATAAGTTGTACATATATGAAAATAAAAATTAATACGAACCTGATGTCTTCTGGTAATTGCACTTATGGTACAGATGGGCCCATCCTCTTGGATACTGTTCAAAGTAGTTTGATTTGGTTTTGTTGTTGTTGTACCTCTCAACCTTCAGGTTGTGGAGCTGAATGTAAGGGGCTGTGGGGTGTGTAGTTGTTCCACATCTGCTTTTCACTTTCTAATATCTGTAATCTAAAATAAAATACTAGTAGTGCCTGTGTTCTTGTGACAGCCTTGCCTGTGTTGTCTCTTAGTGCGGTGTGATGTATGTTGATCCTATATTAAAGTATATTACTGTTTGTTTTTCTGTTTTTCCATACCTCTGGTGTGTTACTTAAAAGAGAATACTTTGGAGCTTAAGTCTAGGAGACATGGAATGGTAGGGACTGGGAGGTTTGTTGTTGCAGCTGTTGATCATTAGTAGACATGCTAGATATTGTGCTTTCCCTAAATGAATGTTTAGTTTTCCACTTCTTTACTCAGGACAACCCCCTATGAAAAAAGGAGAGTCAATAAGGCGTTCCAGAAGACCAGTTTATCCTGGCATTGCTGGTAGCAATCCTGTCTGCTTCACAGTGACTCTGGATAAACCTCACTGTTTCAGGTGAGGCACCTAGACCAGTAAGAATGAGCTGGGAATAGAGGTATGGATTGCCTTACCTTGTCCTCAGTAGCAGGCCAAAACAACTGTTGGGTTCCCTACCAGAACTGTTGTTCTTCCAGACAGCTTTGAGTGCCAGGCTGACCATGATCCCAAAGCTAGTTTTGGCTTCTTATATATTCTCTGTGGTAGTCTGTCAGCATGGAAGCTTATGGTTTTCAGGATTTTTGTGGGAACATTACCTGCCAACTCTTCTGGAGAAAATGCTCATTTCGAACATCATGACTCTTAATGGGGACAGTGATCCTGTCTGCAGAGCTACCCCATAGCTGTGGATTTTGGGATTGCCATGTGGTGATCATTCTCACTGTGTGCATTCAGTGTTGTGGGGACAGTTACGCTATAGACAGCTTTTCAGGGAACAGACCTTTTCATTTCTACCTGACAGTTTCTTGCCATAAGAAGGCAGGCTGAAAAGTCATCTTCATTTTTCTTCTCATTTTTTAATTAGGTGGACACTGCTGAAGGCCACAAAACCTTAAATTTCATTCAGCAGTTTGGTAAATGGTGTTCATTACGTGCCTTCTTTCTCCAGCTTGACAGGTGCGTACTCCTCAGGAGACCACGGTGAGGGTTTAGAGTCCAGCAAGGCTTCTGTTACGTCTCATTCCTTAGAACTGTTGCTTTCTCATTTTTTTGAGATGGCCTTCTGATTTTCTGGGTACCTTGAATCTCATGTCTTTATTCCTTCAGTTTTTGGTTTTTTTTTGGTGGTGGGTGGGTTTTTTTTGGTTTGTTTTGTGTGTTGACTACTGAGCATTTC